AAAAATAAATAAAATATATTTTAAAAAAAAAAGAAAAAGAAAAAACAGGACTGTGATTAGTAACTGGATAAAATACGCACAATGGGAAGAGAGTCTAAAGGAGATTCAAAGGGCTTGATCCATATACGTACGTGCTTTAGATGTGGACTATCGAAATATTACACTCTGGCTGAAATATGCTGAAATGGAAATGAAGAATCGCCAGGTCAACCATGCCCGAAATATCTGGGACCAGGCCATAACTCTGCCCCGAGTCAACCAGTTCTGGTACAAATACACATACATGGAGGAGATGCTGGGAAATGTGGCTGGTGCCCAGCAGGTGTTTGAGCGCTGGATGGAATGGCAGCCAGAGGAGCAAGCCTGGCACTCCTACATCAACTTTGAGCTGCGATACAAAGAAGTGGATCAGGCCTGCACCATTTATGAGAGATTTGTACTTGTGCACCCTGATGTTAAGAACTGGATCAAGTATGCCCGCTCTGAAGAAAAACATGGTTATTTTGCCCATGCACGGAAAGTGTACGAGAGGGCTGTGGAATTCTTTGGAGATGAACATATGGATGAACGCCTTTATGTTGCCTTTGCCAAATTTGAAGAAAATCGGAAAGAATCTGAAAGGGTACGAGTGATTTACAAGTATGCCCTGGATAGAATTTCAAAACAAGAGGCCCAAGAGCTCTTTAAAAATTATACCATCTTTGAGAAGAAGTTTGGTGATAGGTGGGGTATTGAAGATATCATTGTGAGCAAACGGAGATTTCAATATGAAGAAGAAGTGAAGGCTAATCCACACAATTATGATGCCTGGTTTGATTACCTGCGCTTGGTGGAAAGTGATGCAGAAGCAGAAACTGTACGAGAAGTCTATGAAAGAGCTATTGCCAATGTCCCACCCATTCAGGAGAAGAGACATTGGAAGCGTTACATCTATCTTTGGGTCAACTATGCACTCTATGAAGAACTGGAGGCAAAGGTAAGAATGTGGAATTATGTGTCAACTACTAGTGAATTCCTCACCATGGTGCTTAAAGCTTGCTATTGTGGGCAGTAATGGATATTTACAATCGTTGAAGCTGAGGAATTTAGTTTTAGATTCTAATAGGCCTTATAATTCTAATAGTCATATAATTATATATTCTCTCTCTAACATTTTTAATTCTCTATCTGTTGTGGGCACAGGTGAGGTGTGTTTCTTGTTTTGTTGTGTTTTGTTTTTTAAACCTTGAGGCACAATGTGATTATCACTTGGAACTTGAGAGGGAACAATGAACCAGCCCTTGTACCTCTTGGATTAAATTTGCAGAATTAGAAACAATCCTTGGCGATATTGA